TGCTGCTGCTGCGGCTGCTGCGGCTGCTGCGGGATGCGATGGGATGGGATGGGCAGATGGACGCCACTCCACGCACACGCAGGGCCGCTCTGTGCAACAAACGAAGATGCGATGCGGCCACCCGACCCGCCGCTGCTGCTGCTGCTGCTGCTGCTGCTGCTGCTGCTGCTGCTGCTGCTTGGTTCGGGAAGAATAGTGCGCCGCAAAAGAAAGGGATTAAAGAAGGGAACTTCGGACTTGGCCGGGAAATGCACGCAGGCGCGAGATGCAGCTTCTTCGAAGTCCCAGCAGCAGCTCGCAGTCTGCTGCTGCGCTGCTGCGGTGTACGTACACCTGGCGGGCGCGGGGCCACGCAGGCTCGCGCCGAAGCCGCCCCTGCGGAAGTTCTGCTGCTGCTGCTGCCCCGGAGAAAGCAGAAGATGTGCTGCAGCGGGGGAGTTGGAAAGAAAAGGAGAGCCGGAAACGCGGAAGCAGCAGCTGCTGCTGCCGAGCGCCAAACACGCAACTCGAAGCCACAATTACGCAAAAAATGTTCTGAATTCCGACTTTCCGCGAAGAGAACGAAGGACTCGGCTCCCTGCGCCGCCGGGGTGTACGTACACCCGACAAGAGCCGTTCGTCGCCCGTCACCTTGTCCGTCGGCTTCGAGTTCACTTTTAGCCCCCAACTAACTCGAATGGGACTGTCTAGTGGCTGCAAATGAATTTCTTTTTCGCAAATTACCCCTTTAGTTCCTCCCGAAACCCGGAACGCCGCGGAAACGCGCTCATGCACGCATATTCAACTTTGCCCACTTGCCTGCGCCGCCGCAGCAGCCCGCACAGCCGATCCGACGCGAACACCCGCATATATCCCCAGTTTCGGGGAAAAAAAGATGAATTTTAGCAAATTCCACTTTAATTTATCTTTTTTTCCGCAAGTTTCCCCGAGATCGCGCGGCCAACTCCCGGCGAAGTGCTGAACTGAGAAGCGCCCAGAGCCCGGCGCTCTCCCGTTCAGACTGCTGCCGCGGCCGCTCCGCCCACACAGTTGAGTTTATTTTCGCAACTTCTTTTCTTTTTTTTCTTTTAAACTCCTCGCAAACATTCCAGAGCTCTGCCTTGAGTCCAAGGCGCCTCTTGCCCGCCTCCCCCAGCCTCCAGATCACCCCCCCTTCGCCCGTTTCAACTTGCAGCAGCAGCAGCCCCCAGCAGCAGCAGCAGCAGAGGCGCTCTCTGCTGCAGCTGCGAGCTGCTGCTGCTGCGGGCTGCTTTGGCAGCTGCAGCAAAACAGTCTCGGGGGGCCCCCGGGCCTCCTCCTCGTTTCCTCCTTTTGCTGCTGCAGCGGCGCTGCTGCATAAGTGAAGGCCCTTTGGCCCGAAGGGCGGTGGTCCAGACCACTGGTCCCCATGTTCCCGCAGAGGCTCACTGCTTCCCAGTTCTTGCTGCTGCTGCTGCTGCTGCTGCTGCTGCTGCTGCTTCCCCCGCTCCTGGCACTTGAGCTGCAGCAAACGAGACTCGCTGCTGCTCAGCTGCTGCTGCCTTTCCTCTGCTGCTGAGGGCAGCCCAGGGCCCTTTTCTGGCTTCTCCGTATTCAGCATGTGGACCTAGAGGGCCCCCAGCAGCAGCAGCAGCAGCAGCAGCAGCTGCTGCTGCTGCTGCTGCTGCTGCTGCTGCGACTGCAGCGGCCAATTCGAGGCAAGCTGCCCCTTGCGGTGGCGAAAGACCGGGGACAATGTCCTGCAGCAGGTGCAGTTTGTGTGCAGCAAAAAGACTCCCGCAGCAGCAGCAGCAGCAGCAGCAGCAGCAGCAGCAGTAGTAGTAGCTGCTGCTGCTGCTACCGCTGCAGCAGCAAAAACGCGACGGTGGGCGAGCCAGACAGCAGCAACAGCAGCTGCAGCAGCAACAGCAGCTGCAGCAGCAACAGCAGCTGCAGCAGCAACAGCAGCTACACCAGCAGCAGCAGCTGCAGCTGCAACAGCAGCTGCAGCTGCAACAGCAGCTGCAGCAGCAACAGCAGCAACAGCAGCTGCAGCAGCAGGATGTGCAAGGCGGTGGCTAGCTCTCCATGCTGCTGCTGCTGCTGCTGCTGCTGCTGAGGGGGCGGGAAGTTAAGTCTTAAAATTGGAATATTTGAAAAAAGTTTTTTTGTTTTTGAAAATAAAAAGTTTCACTTCTCTGCCCGCGGGGTGTATGTACACTCCGGTGCGCAGGAAGTTTCATTTTTTCGTTTTTCCGATTTTGCAAAAATCAAAAAACTTTTTAAAAGCAAAAGAGATTTAAAGAAAGTTTGAGAAAAGAAAAAAGAAAAAAAGAATTAAAAACATTTAAAATAGTTCTTTAAAAGAGAAAAAAAAAAAGAATTCAAAAAACCCGAAAGAACTTTGAAGGCAAAAGACGCAGCATCCGAAAGAAAGTTTCAAAACCCTAAAAGGAGTTTTAAAACCCTAAAAGGAGTTTTAAAACCCTAAAGGGAGTTTTAAAACCCTAAAGGGGGTTTTAAAACCCTAAAAGGAGTTTTAAAACCCTAAAACGAGTTTTAAAACCCTAAGTGGAGTTTTAAAACTCCACAAGGGACTTAAAACCTCCAAAGATTCGAGTTTGCTGCTGCTTAGCAGCAGCAAGCAGCAGCAGCAGCTGCAGCAATCAACAGCAGCACCGAGCAGCAGCAGCAATCGACAGCAGCATCAAGCAGCAGCAGCAGCAGCAGCAGCAGCAGCAGCAGCAGCAGCAGCAGCAGCAGTCACTGCTGAGACTGCTTGTGGCAGTATTTGTATTTATTTTGCTGCTGAGGCCGTATGCTGCGCAGCTGCTGCTGCTGGCGCTGCTGCAGTTGAATTGCTGCTGCAGTCCAAATGCTGCTGCAGCAAACTGCACTGCCGCTCGCGCTTTTGCTGCTGCAGTTGAGAGTGCTGCTGCACTCCCAATTGCCGATTATCCTGCTGCTGCTGCTGCAGCACCGCTGCTGCTGCTGCACTGCTGCTGCTGCTGCTGCTGCACTGCTGCTGCTGCTGCACTGCTGCTGCTGCTGCAGTACTGCTGCTGCTGCAGCAGCTGAAAGACTAGAGCAAGTCTCTCATTTCAAAAAGCAAAAAGAATTTAAAAAGAAAAATGGAATTAAATGCTGCAAAGACAAACTCCGCATTTAGCTGCTAGGAACTCAACAAACAGCTAAACCCTAGCTAAACCCTCACAAGCTAAACCCTCGCTAAACCCTCGCTAAACCCTCACTAAACCCTCGCTAAACCCTAGCTAAACCCTCGCTAAACCCTCGCTAAACCCTCGCCAAACCCTAGCTAAACCCTAGCTAAACCCTAAACCCTAATTGTCCCTTTTGCTGCGCCGCACTCAGTGAGCCCCCACGAGGCAAACCCTCGCAAGGTAAACCCTAGCTGCGCCAAACCCTCGCCAAACCCTCGCCAAACCCAAACCCTCGCTAAACCCTCGCTAAACCCCCTCTAAACCCTCGCCAAACCCTCGCTAAACCCTCACAAACCCTCTAAACCCTCGCCAAACCCTCGCTGAATTCCAACGAGCGCCTGGCGTTGTAACAAATAAAGAAAAGACAAAGAAGACTCTTTCGCCGGTGCTGCGGTGTACGTACACCCGAAGCTGCATGCGCCTGCCGCTGCTGCGCGCAGCTGTCCGCAGCAAAACGGAAATCATTTCTTTTAAGTTCATTTAATTAAACTTTTGTTTTATTATTTCTTTTAAGTTCGCATTTAATTAAACTTTTGTTTTTTTATTTCTTTGTTTCCACAAACCCGACCCGCGAAAGAACAACGAGCTGTACGTCCCCCCTGCCGCGCCCGGCGCTGCCGCTGCTGCCGCAGCAGCCGCCCTTCCGCTGCAGCAGCAGCAGCAGCAGCGGCAGCAGCAGCAGCGGCAGCAGCAGCCCCCAACGCCGCCGCCGCCGCAACCCCCCACTTCCCACCCCGCCCTCCCGCTCCCCAGAGCCATTTTGCCCTACGAAAGTCTTGCTGCTGCTGCTGCTGCCACGGCAGCCCCTGCGGCCCCCGCTGCAGCAGCAGCAGCAGCAGCAGCAGCAGCAGCAGCAGCTAGGCGAGCTTGGCCTTGCGGCGCTCGCCCTTGCCCACTGCGTGGAAGCCGCTCTTGATGGTGGTCACCGAGCGGTTCGCCCCGCAGGCGCTGC